CCGAGGGGGGACAAATGCGCCAAGGCACAGGCATAGATATATATATATATATATATATATGTATGTCTGAATATATGCATATGTATATATATAGATATATATATGTATACAGAGAAGAAGCCTTGGAGGAGGAGATAGAAGACGTTAGGAAAAGTAACAGCAGCAATACAACGCAACGCATGAGGCCGCCTAATAGATATATGCAGAAAGAGACACAAATTAAAGGGACTCGGGAGAGGAGACACCTAGAAGAGAGGAGACACTGCAGTAGGAGAGACAGTGGAAAGTAAAAGGCGGCAACAAAAGGAGACACTTAGGAGAGACAAGAACGAGCTGCCGCTCCGCCAACTGTGGCAGCATCACGAGCACCAGCAGCAGTAAGAGCAGCAGCAGTAGAAGTAGCAGCACTGGTAGCAGCAACAGCAGAAGCAGAGGGACCAGAATCACGAACAGCAGCAGCAGCAAGACAAAGAGAAGCAGGAGCAGCATCAGCAGCAGAAGAAGCAGCAGCAGGGCGACGGGCAACAGCAGCAGCAGAAAGAGCAGTAGCAGCAGCAGCAGCAGCAACTAGCCTGTGAGGTTTATTCCGTCGATCTCGTTCCGCGTAGCATCGATTTTGCCTAAGACCAAATCCGAGTGTCTCCCCACAATCAATGCGACTCTTTTGAATGCAGGCTCCAGCTTACGGCAATGGCCGCACCTGACACACACGCAGCAGCAGCAATACCGGCTGCTGCTGCTGCTGCTGCTGTTGCTCTTGCAACTGCTCCTTCTGCTGCTTCTATTGCTGCTGCTCCTGTCTTTGCTGCAGCTGATGGCTTTTTCTGCAGCTGCTGCTGGTGGGTGCTGTTGCTGCTGTTGTTGTTGCTGCCGTTTTTGCTGCTGTTTCTGGGTGCTGTTTGTGCAGCTGCTGCTGGCATTGATGGGGAGGTGAGGCGAGTGTTTGTGTCTGGTGGCTGTTTCCTTTTAAAAGTGCTGTTGGTGCCGTTCAGCCCTGCTGCGGTGTCTGTCTCCTTGTTTTTTTATCTGCACTCTGTCTCCTTGTTGTTGTTCCCTATTGTGCGCTCTATCTCTTGTTTTGCTGTCTCTTTGTATTCTGTCTGTCTCCTAGCTGATGTCTCTTTATCTGCACTCTGCTTCCTCGCGTCTCTCTCTCTATTTGTGTGCTGTCTGTCTCCTCTCCTTTGTCTCTGCTCGCTGTTTTCTTGAGGCTTCGTCTCTACACCTCAACTCAGGTACATGCCCATGGGCGAGGCAAGAGACTTCAACATAACCGCAGCAGCAGCAGCAGCAGCAGCATCACCAAAGCAACAGCAGCAGCAACAGCAGCAGCACCACCACGAACACCACAAACAGCAACAGCAGCAGCAACGGTAGCAGCAACAGCAGCAACAACAGAAAAAACAGAAGACCAGCGACACCAACACCAGTAACACAAACAAAAAGACAGCAACAACGCCACCAGGAACAACGCCAACAAAACAGTAAAAATAAGAAACAACAACCCCACCGAAATCTCCTTACCAAGGGGCGCCGAATGCAATAAAGACATCATAAGGGACATCGATGACTTCGGATTGAAAGTTGAGGCCAACAAAAGTCTTCACAGGACCTGCGCATACACCCCACAGGCACCTCCCTAGGCAGTGTTGCTTCTCTGCTGGGATAGCTAGCCAGCAGCTAGCTAGCTCTTCGATGCTTGGGTGGCTAGCTGGCTACCTAAGTGGCTAGCTGCGCTTCCAGCTGGCTAGTTGCATGACTATCTAGCTAGCTGCGTGGCTAGCTAGCTAGCCGATGAGAGGGCAAAGCCACCTGAGTTTTGAGAGGCAGGAGGAATGGCTTCACTGTTGGTGTAGGGCTGCAAACGGCCCTCAAGGAAGCGGCGGACGAAGGCGCGAATGAACTGCAGAAGAAACCGGAGACAGAAAAAATAAAAAGGAGATAGAAAAACCGAAAAGGAGACATATGACAACTAGAGACAGTTATGAAGACAATGCGACACAGAAGGATGAGGGAGAGACAAAAGCGAAGGGACAGACACACGAAAAGGAGGAAGACAAAGAGTAAAACGACTTAAAGGAGACGAGGAAAGACGAAAGAGATAAGCTAAGGGACTGAGAAAGGGAGGCAGGCAGAGATAGAAGAGGGGACAGATTGACACAAAAACTGATGTGCAGGAGACAACAAATCACAGACAGACAAAGAAAGAGATATGCACAGATATCTGGAGCCCAAGAGACACAGAGAGAAAGAAACGGAGCCAGATAGAAACAGAAAAGGAAACAGACCGACATAGAAAAGAACACCGGCGGAGAAAGAAAAAGAGCTATGCAGAGGCAGACGGTACCTAATACGACGGAGACAGAGGGAAAGGGACAGAGAGAGAGAGAGAGAGACAAAGACGGAGATAAACAGAGGCAGAGAGAGACAGAGACAGAGACAGACACAGGGTAAAGGGCGCAAAAAGAGAAGTCCGGGGAAAGACGGAGACAAAGAGATGCGAAGAGACACAAAGACAGACAACAGCAAAAGCGAAGAGGAGACTGAGGCGGAGAAAGATTGCGGGGCTGTCTCTCCTCTTTCATGTAGTATCTGGTACCTCTTCTGCTTCCTTCTGCTGCTGTCTCTGCAGCGCATCAAAGACTGTCTCGCTATGGTGTCCGTGTGCCTTTGCTGCTGCTGTTGCTGCTGCACTCTGTCCCCTTTTTCTGTTGGCCCTTAAAGCCTGTGTCCTAGCAGAAGTGGCTAAGGCGTTGGCGATCAAACTGTGAGAAGGAGACCGACTACGGAATGCATACACAGGCTTCTTGCTGTCTCCTCCTTCTCCTTCACTGCTGCTGCTGCTGCTGCTGCCGCTCCTGCTGAGGCTGCTGCTGTTATATTTAAAGGGCTTGTGGGGTTTAAACTTTTGTGCTGGGTAGTATTTGCCGTTGCCGCTGGGGTTGAAGGTGGCGATCCGCAGCTCCGGAAAAGTGATGGTTTCGTCTACCCCCATCAAACTAAAAATGCGCCGCTCATGTGCCTCTTTGTTCCCTGAAAAGGAGATAGGGAGACACCCCAAAGGAGACAAATAAGGGACAGTGGATGCTAAGGAACATATGCATATAGGAGGCACAAAAGGAGACCAAGAGGAGACAGTAGCCGCTCACAGACAGAGACACAGAGAAGGTATTAAAGTAGACAAATAGGATACAATGGACACTTAGAGACAGGGGTAAATGAGACACGAGAAGAGACAAGGAGACAGCAGACGCTGAGGCAAAGAGGAACAAACGAGGCAAGAAGAGATAGCGAGACAGCCAATCAGACTAGGAGCTGAAAAGAGACACAGGGGAGACACTAGGAGACAGCGAGACATAAAAGGAGAGAACCAAAAGACACAGACACTTACAGACACGGAAGAGACACGAGAGGGCACACAGTAGACACAGAGAGCCATAGGAGGCACTTAGCAACAGAGACAGGAAAAATGTCTGTCTGTATCCATTTGGTGTGTGCCTGTCTTTGTTCGCGTCTGCCTGTATCCTTTCTTTGTCTATTTGCCTCCTTTCTTTGTCTTTCTTTTTTCAGTGTCTCTCCGTCTTTTTCTGTTGTATCCTCACCTGAGACTGTGAAAATGAGTTCTGAACGGACTTCGCCTGCAATTTGATAAAAGGCGGCGACAAGGGGGTCAACAAGGCCCTCTCTGGTAATCGACTTAGAGGCCCTGTCTCCGTCTAGCAGCAGCAAGCAAATAGAGCGCCCGTCTGCAGATAGCAGCAGCAGCAGCAGCAGCAGCAGCAGCGGCTGCACCTACGGCAGCTGCCATGAGATCAGCAGTAGCAGCAGCAAACCAGCAAGAGCAGCAGCGGCTGCAGCTGCTCCTGCTGCTGTTGTCGTTGCTGATGCGGCATCAACAGCCAACCAGCCAGCAGCCAGGGCTTGCCGCGCCGTTGGATAGAACAATTGTTTGGGAAATTGTAGAAGAAACAGAGAGGAGAAACGAAATTTAGCCCAAAAGGAGACGCAGAAAAAGAGACAGTTGAGGGGGATAGAGGCAGGCAGAGACCAGCGGAGGAGACAGAAGCAGAGAGAGAGAGGCAAGGACTAGAACGAGGACAGCGAAGTGAGACAGAAGCAGAGAGAGAGAGACGCAAAGAAAGACAGGCAAAAAGACGAAGAGAGAAGTGCAAGACCAGAAGACCTACACAAACATAGAGAAAAACAGCAAGAAAAGGAGACAACGACGAGGCCACACGCAAAGAGAGGAGGATACAGAGACAAAGACGCGCACGCGGAGAAGCGGGGAGGATGAAGGCAAAGGAGACAGATGAGGAGACAATTAAGGAGACAGTGAAGGAGACAGTTGAGGAGGCACAAGCGTGCGCAGTCAAGGAAACAGTCCAGTAGACAGTTGAGGGGACAGCTGATTGCACAGTGAAGGAGACAGTTAAATATAGCTAAGAAGACGCCCCAGGCTACCCTGACTTCAACAGTTAAAAGGCAGCAGCAGCGGGGAGAGCTGAGGAGACAGCTGGATTTATGCACCATCAAATATGTCTTCAATAGTCTCTGGCTCAAAGGGGATAACTTGGGGGAATCTGTATGTATGAACAAAGCCGTCGAGGGCCTTGCGGTCGTCTCCTCGCCCCGTGTACTTTATAAATGGAGGGTCTCCTGTGTTTGTTGGGGCAGTCACAATAAAAGGAGGCTCCCACTGTACATACACCCCGCAGCAGCGCACACACAATACACCAGGTGCGCAGCAGCCCTAAGAAAACGCATGCAAACAACCATATCACCTCAGCGAATGCGAATAACCTGCTAATGCTGCTGCAGCAGCACAAGAGACAACAGCAACAATAGTAGCGGAGGAAGAAACAGGAGCAGTAGAGAAGCAACGGCAACAACAACACCAGAAGCAAGGAAGCCATCAGGCGCGATAGACGTAGCAGCAGCAGCAAGGGCAACAGCAACAACAGCAACAGCAGCAAAAATAACAGCAGAAACAGCAACAGCCCAAGCCACAGCCTGACCCTCAGCAGTACCACCAACGTCAGCAGCAGCAGAAGCAGAAGCAGCAGGAGTAGCAGTAGCAGAAGCACAAGCCGCTCCAGAACCAGAAGCAGCAGAACCAGTAGCAGCACCAGCGTCAGCTAAGGCAGCGGCATCAGCATCAAGTGCAGCAGCATCATCAGCATCAAGTGCAGCAGCAGCAGCAGCAACAGCAGCACAATGCATGTACCATTTGTTTAGAGTTGCCTGAGACGGGCAGCAAATAGCGCTGAAGGAAATGCTGAAAAACAGCAGAGTGGTGAATCTCCCCAAAAAGGACTTCGTCAGATATACTGCGGGCGACATGGCGAAAGGTTTCGTGGTGAAAGGAGACAGAGTCCCCTAAACAAGCAACAAAAGGAGACATGTTTTAAGAGAGAGGGGACAGATCAAACGAAAAGAGACAGTAGGACGGAATAATTAAAAGGAGGCAATACGAGTAAACGGAGGCAGCATTAAAAAGGGAGACAATGGGATTAAACGCCAGAGACAGAGGCATCTAAAGCAAATCATAAACGATAATAAGGCAATAGAGAGAAAGGCTACAAAAAGAAGAAGACATGTGTGTTATACGCATAAAGAGAGCTGCTAAAACAACAACAAAGAGGAGACAAAAAAACGAAACGCAAGATGTGCATAAAGAAAAACAAAACTTAAAAAGACAGAGGCGCTGCACAGCAGCAACAAGGAGACAACCGAAGAAGAACAATCGAGAGAAAGCTCTTAAAGAAGGGGTATTAGCTGGACGAGGGGAGGCATCAAGAGAGAAAAGGGAGAAAGATGAGGTGAAAGCGAAAGAAAGATCGGCGGAGACCACAGCATGGACAAAAGCAGACACTATCACTAAACGAAGAAGAGGCAGAAAACAAATCAATAAATAAAGAAGCGATAGAGGACAAAACAATACACAAAGAGGTGACAGAAGACGTAAGAGTAAAGAAAGAAAACAGAAGACACACCATTAAAGAAATAAGTGGCAGAATCGACAGCACTACAAAGAGACAACTGAAGAGACAGCACTACTGACAAGAAGCAGGAGACAACCCAACAACGAAGAAAGCGGAAAAAGAGACATCATTAAAAAAGAAAGCCAGAACAATCAGAGTTAAGGAAAGAAAGGACAGAGATGAGAGCACGGCAAAAAGAACAGACACAAGAGGCACCATAACAGGCAGAAGAGAAAGCAGAGGGGGAATTAGAAAAAGGAGAGAGAGCAGAGACAGAAAAACAGAAAGAAGAGACATGCCTACACAAAGAAGAGACAGCAGACATAACAGAGGCGGAAGACGCATCATCATAGAACGAAGACACGGCACTAGGAGAGAAAACACAACGTAAGAGACGAAAGAGGCAGAAGAGACGGAAGCGACCCCACCGAATAAAGAGATATATGATACAAAAGAGACATAACTAACGAAATGGATAGAGGAGACAAAAGAGATACAACTTAATAAAGAGGCAGAGGAGACAAAAGAGACAACACTAAATAAACCGGCAGAAGAGACGGATCGACGCCACGAAATAAAGCAACAGACGAGGCAACAGGGACAGCACCGGAACCAGAAGAAACAGACGAAACAGAAGAGAGATCGTCAAAGCGAGAAGCAGCACAGACAGAAGAGAGACCACTACATAAAAAGACGGAAGAGACAGAAAAGGCATTATTAGATAATGGGACATCAGCAGCACAACAGGCCCCGCTAAATAGACCAGCATCGGAGACAAAAAACGAGAGAAAATGAGAGACGGGAGAACAGCCAGCATCGAAAAGAGAAGAATAGACAACATCGGCGCCATATGAAGCAGAGAAAGGCATCTTTATAGAAAGGCGCAACAGAGCCAGAAGAGACAGCCTGCGAGACAGATGAAGAGTCACCAAATAAAACGTAGCAGAGACAAAAGAAGAGACAGCATGGGAGACAGAGGAAAAGACAACATGGGAGGCAGAGGAAGAGACAGCATGGGAGATAGAAGACGAGACAGCATCGCAGACAGAAGAAAAGACAATTCACCTCCTGCGCTTCCATCTGCATTGTCTCTGGTGGAGACAGCAACAACCAGTTGATGGCCGTCTTTTCCGTTTCTCATAAATTCATCTAAATGCGGCACGCTGTCTAGTCGTTCATCTCGCTGCAAGTTGTGATTCAGCCACGCAAATATCTGAGTCCGGCGGCGGCCCCCTAAGTGAAGCAGCAGCAGCAGCAGCAGCAGCAGCAGCAGCACCATGTGTACGTCAGCAGAAGAGGCATGAGTAGCAGCAGCTGCTGCAGTACAGCAACAGAAGCAGCAAAAACACAAACGCCACCACCAACACCAACACGAACACAAAACAACAAAACAACAACGACGACAACAGCAAAAAGAGCAGCACCGACAGTGTCCTTATATTTATGTATATATATACCGCAGCATCATGCATATATATATATATATGTTTATGCAGATATATATAACATGCATATATATATATATATATATATATATCTGACCTAGGTATTGCTTGGGTTTTCCGTGTATGTAGAGTTTGATGATGGGGTATTCGAGGATATGTTGTTCTTTTCGCACTTGTGGATTGTCTTCGCAATCGACTTTGGCTAGGGCAATAGGGCGAGAGGAGACAGCCCCCACGAGACGAGCAACGGCATCGAACTCAGGCAGTGCAGCACGAGACCAGTGACACCAGGGTGCATAGAACAACACCAACACGAAAGGCTCAGCCGCAATAAAAGCAGCAAAACTCTCATCTGTAAGAGATATCGCGCCGGGGGGAGGCAGAGATGCAGATGAACCACCAACAACGGAGACACTTGCTGCTGATGGTGGTGCTGCTGCAGCACTAGCTGCAGCAGCAATCGCAGCGCTCCCAGGAGCAGCAAACTCTACAGGGACAGAACCAACATCTGTTTCAGCAACTCCACCCGATCGGTCAAGATGCTGTTGCTGGTGCTGATGCGACTGCGGCTGCTGCGGATGATGCCGGAGCTGCTGCTGCTGCTGCTGTTGCTGCTGCTGCTGCTGCTGCTGCGGGGGATGGGGCTGAGTTGCAGCGGGGAGCTGCTGTGGAGACGGAGATTGCCGCAAGTGCTGCTGCTGCTGCTGCGGCTGCAGCTGTACCTGAGGCTGCGGTTGCTGCGCTTGAGGCTGCTGAGTCTGCATTGGGGGTTGCGGTTGTCGCAGCTGTTGCTGCTGATGCTGATCCTGTTGCTGTTGCTGTTGCTGCTGCTGCTGTTCTTGTCGACGCAACTGCTGCTGTGGTTGCTGCTGCATCTGATTTGGCTGCTGTAGTTGGTGTTGCTGCACTTGGTAGTGTAACTGTGGTTGCTGCAGCTGTGGCAGCTGCTGCTGCTGCTGCGGCTGTGTTGGACGCTGTTGCAAGTTCATATTCTGCTGCTGTGGTTGGTGCCTTAGTTGCTGCTGCTGGTGCATGGGTTGCTGCTGCTGCTGCTGCTGTTGCTGCATAGGTTGCTGCATAGGTTGCTGTTGCTGCTGCTGTGCCGGTGAGGATGCTGCTGCTCTCATGTGATGTTTGTTTTGCTGCAGGGGCTCAGCCGCTAAGGCAGCAGGTGTGGGGTTAGCGTTTTGTGGGCTGACGTTCCCAACTCCGCTGCTGGAGCCCCCTGAGTACCCTGTCTGTACACCTGAAATTGCTACAGGGGCCCCTACTGGCTGCTGCCCTGGGAGCCCCTCTCCCGAGCCGAGGGACGCCCCCATGGAGGGCGCCGGACTGGGAGGCCCCCGTGTCCCTTCAGCTCGGAGGCTGGGGGCTTGGAGGGCCCCCTGCGGCAAAGTGGGTGGCGGCAGGGGGGCCTCCGCAGGGACCCCGGTAGGGGCCCCTATTGCGGCATTCCCTGTTGCAGCTCCGACTGCTGCAGGCGCTAGAGAAGCCTGTACCGGGGGCCCCTCAGCTCCTCTCAGCTGTCCTAATACGAGCGGCAGGAATAACAGAGGAGACAGCAACAATACAGAGACTGAGGGGCCCAAGAAATTTAGTAGGAGGGGCCGCTGCCCTTGCGCTCTCATCTTAGACAAGAGGCCGTGCACAGGAGCCCAGTGGAAGACTGTGATGTGGCAGCTAGCTGGGTAGGTGGTGGCGTTTGCCGGTGGCGCTTCTGTTTCTGCTGCTGCTGCTGCGCTGCTGCTGCTGTTGCGCTGCTGTTGCGCTGGTGCTGGTTCTGTGCGTGGCTGCTGCTGCTGTTACTGCTGCTGCTGCTCTTGGTGCCGTCGACGTCTCTCCAAAGATGCCCGGGATCTTCTCTAAAAGCCTCTTTGCTGTTCAGGAGGGTCACATATGAAGGCTAACACCATCCCGTGCTGTGTGTGGCCGTGAGCTGAGGTGTATGTACACCTCAGCGCCGGCGTCTGCGTCGGTTGCTGTTAGCCGTGTTGCTGGTGCCCGCGTTTGTGGTTCGGGGGCTGAAATAACTCTTCTTTCCTATTTAAAATAAACTGTTTTATTTAAAGAATAAAAACCAGGGGGAAGGCGATAATAGAAAGGGAAAAAATGCGAGTAGCTCGCCTTGTGGGGTGGTGTCACTTCGCGGGTCTGCTCAGCGCCTGTGCTCGCTGTAGCAACAACACGGAGATAATTGTACCTCTTTTCTGCAGCAGTTTATCTGCAGTAAACACCTGATTTGCATTAACAACAACAAATGAACAGAAAAGCTGTATTTACGGGCAGACCACCGGGTACACCACAAGCTGGTGCTTGCTGCCGTTGCCCGGCTGCCGTTCGACTCTCGTGACATAGCGAGTCAAAATAGGCAGCCCTTTGCATACTTTCTTTTTTAAAATTAAATTCGTTTTGCTTTCACTTGTTTCTAAGTACCTTTTCTTCTGTGTTTGGGGGAAAAGGGCAACCTTTTAGGGCGCACGGGCTCCGTCGCGCCCCTGATCTCTGCCGCAAGTGACCCCGCGCCGCCTCCCCTACTATCATTTATGTTTTGTTGACTTGTCTCTGCCATGTTAGATCATCTTAACAATGATAGTAGTAATTTGTGTGTTAAAAAAATGTATTTGAAGGAGGTATCGAGAGGCAGCTTACACCGGGAAGGCCCTCAGCGGCCAAACAAGAGGGAGTAGCGGTAATCAGCTTAAAAACAAAGAAAACAAAGAGCTCCACCTCCTCGTTTGTAGTCTATGCACGCGCTCCAGTAGACTTAATAAATCCAGAGAAGAGGGAGTTTGGCTAATATTGGTCTATACTTTTTTGTTGATACTAATGACCAGCAATGGCCACTGGAAAACCGCCCACCACAGCGGCTCTGACCAATCTAACGTGTGCGCACTGCTCCTTTACGAGCCGCTTGCTGGAAGCAGGTAAACTCCACAGTCCCTCAGAGTACATACGACGTAAGGCCACAATAGGAAGCTCCTCAAAAGAATAGGCCTGCCCCGGCCATTCACTGGGCCAGGCGCACAGCGCCAGCACCCTCACGGGCAGCGCAGCTAGAAATGACAGCTGAGGCGCAAAAAAAACAAATATTCCCTAGGCAATCTGCAGCTGCCGCTAGAAGGAGGTTTCCGGCACTGGGGCTCGTGCCTTTAGCATGGTCTGTTGTTGCGTGCGTTTCCACTTGCTCGCAAGCTGGCTATAGGGGTCCAAATAAGCTTTTAACAATCGTATACGTTGTAAGCAAATGCATCAAAGGGAGCATGGCTGTCGTGCGTTTCCTAGCGCCACTACTTGCACCAGCGCGCGTTCCAGCTCAAGACAGGTTGGTTCCTCTCTGCCCCATCCCCAGTAGGCCGCTGCGCGCAGATCTCGGGTCTTAGGTTGAGAGGAGCCGGCATGCCCCACTAGGGATCCGGGGGGCCAATCATTTACTGTTCTTTAAGACCCGTCGCCGTATGTCTTTGCGTGTATTGCACCTGCATACCGTGCTTCGAGAAGATCGACGGCCCTCCCTACTCAAAGTAGCAAAGCAACTTTTGTAGTGGGAGGCGTCGGCAGCGAACCCCACCTCAGGTCTGGTGAATATCACTAATTAGTAGTGAACGTCCTTTGCTTGGAAAAAAGTTTGAAGTATCTTCCGTTAAACCTTGTCAAATATTCACCCCCTTTCTCCTTTCAGATTTTGGGGAAGGATCAGGACCTGCCCTCCCAGCGACAGCGCTCACGAGTACCATCGGCTGGGTGACTCGATGAGTTGGATCAAGTTCACTAGCTGCGTGCTTCCAGCGGAAATTGTTTTTACAGCGCAAGCAGTTCATAAGGAACGCATTTGCCTTCGCAGACAATCCAGGCAGGGCAGGTGCCGCAATGCGGAGGGGGCTCCTTGCTTATCTGGAGCTGTGTCGCTGTGTCTTCTCTCCAAAATGCGGCATAAGAGTTACGGTTGCTTTTGGCAGCTATGTTGTCAGAACAGGCGGCACGAAAATTGTTGTTTTATTCAGGCATGCGTTGCGCATGGGAGGAGTCCCAGTACGCCATCCGGAGTGCTGGAACTTTCCGAGATGTGCTGTGTGTTCCGGTCCGGCTAAAGAAGAGATTATTTCAAAATTAAAAGAATTTCACCCAAGAAAAGCTGCTGATAGAGGGCCATATCGCGAAGCATCTCTCCATAGGGAGCAGACGTCCAAACGTGCAAATCGGCGACTCTAGATGCAGCTCTATATGAAAGGCTCAAAGAAGGGCTGACCCCCCAAAAAAGTCACTTGATGACCCACTGCGCAGAGGAGAGAGAGAAAAAGGTTGAGAGGGCTGTACTCTCCCCTATGCTGTACTTCATCACCAAAGAGCGAAAAACCACGTACTGCCCTAGCTGAGAAGGAAGAGAGCGGGAGTGGAAATGACTCATCTATACAGCTCACGGATATTGGGGCTGCGAATTTCAACCCCACCTACGGAAAGATAAAAAGCAAGAACACACGATATCCGGTATGTCGGGCAATTAGAAGGCCTAGGGCAAGTCCTGTGCAACGTATCTGCCTCTTTTATAACAAACACGCTCACACAATTCGATACTGAATTCCTAGAAAAGACTGCAAGGAAGTTGAAAAGCAATACTTCTAGCAGCGCAGCCAAGTAAAAAGGAGCTCAGGGAAATGCCTTGTCCTCCAACTCGCGGTGCAGCGGTGGAGGTGAAAGAGGTGAAAGCCCCACCTGAAAATCCTCCGTGCGTCACGTGTGTTCGTATCCAATTCCGTCTCAATATTCAGAATTTGCCGCCTTAATTTGACGCAGTCCACCAACGGGATCCACTATCTGAAGATATGGCAAGGAGGTCCGGCCTATCCGCCTATTCGGCCTTTGCGAGTTCGTCTCGCTCACAGGAAGCCGCACACGAGGATTTGCAAATACCGGGCGTAAAATGCAAGCCCAATTCAGGAACGGGTCATATCACGATAGTATCGTACTGCTATGTTGAACGGTTCACCATGTCGTGGGTGATTCAATACAGGGAGGGCATACTGTGGTGAACAGCTATCACCCACAGCTGTTACTGCGTGATACCTCATACACACCTACTTACGTGCAGATTCTACATTATTCGCCGGACTCAGCAAGTTCTCTCGAAAACAGACAAAATAATCAGATTAACATTAACAGCGATTAAAACTATGTCCAGTTCAATGCGTATGAAAAGAGAGCCGAAAGAGTGCTGACTGTTGCCTGTCCCACCAAAGGTTCAGTGCCTCTACAACCCAGCCAGCCCCAAAACCTGAGGGCCGTGTGCTCTCATGGCCATGTTAGTCACAACTCTGGACTAAATAGTGTTTGCTAAATGCTAATATTGACTTATATCGTGCTCGTGTCTCCACTGCGCCTCCAGCGGCCAGTTCCCGAGCACGATATAAGTATCGTGCTCGGGAACTGGCCGCTGGAGGCGCAGTGGAGAGCCTATTGTAGTGCCCGTGTACTACACATACTGCGTAGTCCTCAGGCACAACAGTGGTACTCTAGTTGGAACTCTAGGCCCATCCGGCTGAAGGAGAGCAAATACTATCTTACGGGAAATAAATCGAGTCTCGTTAGACGGGAAATAAGGCCATCAGGCTAAGAGTGCTCGGTAGCAACCCAGGAGTTAGGGTTGGCTCTGAGGCTCTCACTGCCGCCTAGGCGTTTACCCACTAGGTGGTCCATCATTAAGGTCATTACTCTTCCTCTTGGGAAGAGCAGACTGAGAGAAAAAGGATGAAAGTATTCTTTGATACTTTGAGGTTATTCTAAGGGTTACGCATTAAGTGCAGCCTATCCATGTCGAGTGCGCACCTAAATAGGTATGTATAAGGTCCACAAGTAGTGACAGACGAGAGCACTGTTCACTACAGGGATGCTCCTAACGCTTGGATATGGACCTCAAATGCTCGCTCATCAGATAAAATTGGAGTGATTTGTTCGTTTTCACAGGAGGATGGTGGTCATGGAAAACGCAATCCGCTGAGGAGCGTGTGGCAGCTTACCTGCCAACGGAACTCGCCTTGGAAATGGAGGGTGCTGCAGCTGGGAGTCCCGCGCGCCCCCGCCTGCACTTCAAAAGAGGAGGGAAAGCTGTTATTTTCACCCCTGGCCGTACCATTAACCGCATCAGGTCTCCAACGTTAGTAGCCTCTGGTTGATAGAAGAAAGTAAATAAGGGAAATCGGCAAAATGGATCCGTAACTTTGGGAAAAGGTTGGCTCTGAGGGCTGGGTGTATAGCGCCAGAGCGGTAATCGTTGGTCGGAGCTGTGTGGGCCCGTTCGTGCTTCGCGGCGCGTCTGTGGACCGCCGGCACTGATCGCGATGTGACCAACGGAAGCATCAAGCGGCATGTGGCAGGGTGGGAGCGAGATAGGTGGAAGGAAATGGCATATCAAAGAAAACCTTTGGCCTGTCAGACAGCAAGTAGCAACGCTGTCTTGAAGGGACCCACGCCTCTGAAGCCAGAGGAAGTGAAGTTCACAATAAGGGCACGAGCTTTACCACTTCCCACAAGAGCATACGTCCAGACGATCCACGTCTCAAAGGTTTCGCGCTGCCAACACTACAGGGCTGGCACTGAAACCCTCGCTCATGCCCTTACAGCCTAGACAGCAAGA